AACATGGAAATATACAATACTGCGTGTGTGTGCGTGTGTGTGGGCCTGTTGGGGATGGGGGGGTGACCCCGCCCCCACTAATCAATCAATCAATCAATCAATCAACGAAAAAAAAAAAAACGCAAAATCGAATGAGTCTTCCGCTAGAACATGGGAATATACAATCCTACGTATGTGTGTGTGTGTGTGTGCGCCTGTGGGGCCAATCAATCAATTAATCAATCAATCAATCAATCAATCAATGGAAAAAAAAAAAAAAAACGCGTTGTTATTTATATTTTTATTTTTTTCGAAATACCTTCACTCACCCAAACCCCCCTACACAAAAATTAGTTTTTTTTCCTTTTTTTTTGGTTGACGGGGTGGGGCTGCGGATGCGCCGCCCCATGGCGCTTCCCGAATCCCAAACCCCCCTCCCCACTGGCCACCACGTGGCCTCAAAGGCCGAGCGGCCGTGCGGAAATGTCCGCGGGGTCGCGACCTAGACCGCGGCCGCGGACTTGGCCGCGGATGGCCGCCGCCAAGGGGGATTCATAGGAGAGAGAGAGAGAGAGAGATTAAGATGAGAGCAAAGAACCTTCAAGTGTCAACCTGCAAGCACAAAGACAAGCACGCAACTAACTGGCAGTGCACATATATCCCGAATCATACGTAATATTATAACTCAATGAAAACTCAGACTCATCCCGTACGCACTTCGCCTCTAAGCGTTTCATCGCCTGCGTACAAAGGCGAACTCATCAGGAGGCAACCCACAATCCCAACAATCGTCAACTGATCCAAGATACCTTTACCCACGGCTTACTGCTGCTTATATAGTCCATGCGCACATCTCGAGACACTATATTCCCTACTTCCTACTACAACTTTGATTGCCTGCGCCTACTACCTCACTACTAAGCTACCTGCTACGTTTACGCCCAGTCTACCCTCTCATTCGTTCCTCGTCCGTTCTCCTACTCTTACTCCCCAATACTTTGACTCTACTCACCCGAACCTTCTAATCAGACGACTGGTGCTGTGCGCCCCGCTTTCCCCGAAACTCTTCTCCTTCTTCCCAAACTACTTACCACCTTGCTCAATGTTCCTCTCTTATCCCAAATAGAAGATCTGGCGCCTCTCTCATATTAGTACGACCTCTTCCCATGCCTCCTTCCTCGTTCGTCCTCCATAACTCGTGCTGACACCGAAGGTCGAGCGATAGTACTCAGAATAGTACAACGGATTCCTGCTAAGTTAACTCTACTAACTCTGCCCCTCCCCTCACGCATTCTCGTCTTCCTCGTTACGTCGTACCGAATCCACTTAACTTTTCCGCAAAAACTGGTCCGAGTACTCATATCCTTTTTAACTTCTCAAAAAGTTACACGCCGTATCCTCGGCGGCTGTGTGGAAAATCCAAACGAACTTCCAAAATTCCTAAAAAACAAACACATGACAAAGGATACACACAAACCCAGGAAACCCCAAAAAATGCGGTGGACCCGCCTACTACAGCCGCTTTTTTGCTCAGAAAATCCCCACCCGCTCCCCTAGTGTACATATTATACAAAGCCCCTCATCACAGGAACCTGGTCAGTCCGGGGTACTCGTTAGGGAGATAAACTCCCCACGGACCACCGGACACCCTGGCAAACTTTGCCAAGGCCCCGAGAGAGATCGATTCAATCAATCAATCAATCAAATGAAATAAAAAATCAATCAATCAATCAATCAATCAAACAACGAATCAATCAATCAATCAAGATCCTATCGATTTGACAGGATCTTAATTGACTGATTGATTGATTGATTGATTTTTATGTTTAATTCACACACACACACACACACACACACACACACACACACACATACACACACACACACACACAAATCAATCAATCAATCAATCAATCAATCAATCAATCAATCAATCAATCAATCAATCAATCAATCAAACAATCAATCAATCAATCAATCAATCAATCAATCAATCAAATCAAATCAATCAATCAATCAATCAATCAATCAATCAATCAATCAATCAATCAATCAATCAATCAATCAATCAATCAATCAAACAAACAATCTATCAATCAATCAATCAAGATCCTGTCAAATCGACAGGATCTTGATTGCTTGGTTGATTGATAGTTTCATTGATTGATTGATTGATTGATTGGTTGATTGATTTGATTTGATTGATTGAATATTTGATTGAATGTTTGATTGATGGATTGATTGATTGAATGTGTGTTTGTGTGTGTGAGAGAGAGAGACAGAGAGGGAGAGAGAGAGAGAGAGAGAGAGAGAGAGAGAGAGAGAGA